ACCTGGCAGAGCACCTTTCACATGTCAGCCTCTCATTGGGCACATCAACCCTCTCCCACATTCTTCCTCAACTTTCTTTGCTTTCTTTCCCTTTTGTCATGTAGGTGAGGCCTGGGCTCAGACACACAAAAGCACAGCTCCGCTGTGTGTGTGCCGTGTGTGTGCCATGACAGACCCCTTCAGAGGAAGCCAGGTTCTCCTGGAGTTTCTAAAACTCCCAAGATGGAGAATGCCTAAAGTGGCAACACTCTGCCACATAGGGAGGACTTAGCGAATGCTGCTCTGGTTGCCAGTACAACCGTAGATCTACATGAACCCCGGGCGGGGAACTCGACCGCTGGAATATGAGGCAGAGGTCCACGCTTATGTTTCTAGCCCTGAGCGTTCTCCTCCTTCGCTACCTCATGGAGACAAGCAGTATAAACTTGAAGCAAAATCATCTGTTTTATTGTTTTTAAAGATTTACTTGTATTTTGGTGTGTGCGTGTGCATACACTCATACTTACATGCGGTGCTCTCAAAGACCAAAAGGCGATGGCAGGTTCCCTAGGGCTGAAGTTGCAGGCAGTTGTAAGTCTCCTCCCGACACAGGTGGGTGTCGGGAACCACGCTTAGTTCTCTGAAGCAGCAGCCAGTGAGTGCCCTTAACCCCGAGGACGCTTCTCTGCAGCACAATGCGATTTTAGCTCTAACTTCTAAAGCGGTTCAGCGTGTTAGCTGCTGTTAGTGTCATCGTATATAAGAACCAAGTAATTGCAGTACTACATACTGTGGGACAGGCCCAGGGAAGGGAGCCTGGGTCTTGGTCATGGAGACTGACCCTCAGCATGACAGGAGCCTCAGACGCCTCCACTGTGGTCAGTTTCTGTCAGCCCACATGCATTCACATAAACTCACTCTTACCTTTAAGTTTAAAAAGTACACATATGTAAAAATATTTTCCAGCTGCGTGTGGGCAGGCTGTGTGATAATGGTGTCATGAATATAGGTCATAACTGAGCCCCAAGGTCCATTCTCAAGTCTTCCACAGTCGAGATTATAGCCTCACAAAATAGAATTGTCACTAAGTATCTTCTCTATTTACTATGTCCAGAATTGTGTGTCCTGGCTGGCAGGGACATGACACCGTTTTTGTGTCCCTGTGAGCAGTGCTGTTGCTATGCATCAGAAGGGAGGAGAGACGAAGAGAAAACAAAACAGGCTGAGCAGTATAAACATTTGACTGTATGTTTACATGGTTTTTTCCAGTGAAAAGTGAATCTACCCAGAAGCTTGGCAATGGAAATTGAGCACTTGCAGAAGAAGGTGGAAGTTCCCAGATGGTTGAGAAGATTGTGTGTGGATTGGGTGACTGGGGTACTCTCAGAGGGTGGTTGGAATGTGTTTGTCTAAAAGGAAATTAAACAATATAACTTTCTTTCAAAAAAAAGTGCATTTTGTCGCCTTTTGAATGAACTGATGTACAAAGGCTCCTTCCTCACTAGACTTCAGTATGCCTACTCTATATGCTGAAACAGTTTTATTGTTAGAGTGGCACAAGACCAAACCCAAGGGTCACCTGTGTCAGCCACAAAGATGGCCTCCTGCATGGTCGCACCTCACTGAAGAGAATGCCACACAGCGAAGCATCTAGCCAAGGAGAACTCTTCCAAGACTTGACCATCCTCATGTTTTGGTTATCCATAACCCCTCTTAAGACATCTCATACTTGAGACACTCCCAGTCGTAAGGGAAGGTGAAATAAACATGAGCCACCATGTGCTGCATTCAGTTAAAGAGACCTACAGCTCCACCTTGAGTTATTGATGACCTCGTCTCACCAGTTCTGTGCCGCACGCACTCCCAGTTGACTCTGGTTGCTGTACAGGACACAGTGATGACCAGCTTGGTGCTGTATTTTGATGCATCTAAAGAAAACACCCACTTGAGTATGTTGAAGAAGTGTGCAAGGTGTAGTTATGTGTGCACGTGGCTTGACTTATGAGCAGTCCACATACTGAAATTAAACTAATAATTTCATGTGCATTTGTGCAACCCTGAAACTTTAGTTGGACTATAAAAGAGTAAAGAATTACATCTGTATTGCATCTGTGTACTGAATGTTTTTCAAAAAGTAATGAAAAGGGGGGCCATGAATTTGAAAATAATCAAGAAAGAGTACATGGGAGGGAAGAGAGAAAGAAAACTTAAAAAGGTGGTAAATTGGACATTGGTGAAGACCATTCAGCTTGTAGGTAGAATAAGACTGAGGTAGATTGGGAGAATGCGAGTATCTGTAACTCAGGGTCGAAATCACAGTAGAAAACCAAGAGGCGGTAGTGCCCAGAGACCACTGGTCTCCGAGTGCTGCTGGAAGTTGGGTTCGTAGTTGATGAAGCCATTGAGAAATGTGCTCACACCCGAAGGGGCCCTTGGGATCTGACATGGCGAAGGATTCATAGGGAGTTATGTCTTTGCCAGTACCTCTGGAAAACAGCTGGGCTCGATTTCACGGGATTCAGATTTGACCCAAAGTAAGGTCTGTGTCACTGGAGCAGGCAGGAGGGGTCCTGGCATTGTTGGGAAAGTGGGGTAAAAGTACACGGGAGAACATGTGCTGTGGGGGAGAGAGAGCCCTAACAGTGAAGAAAAGGGTTAAGCTCTGTATAAAACTCAACAACAAAGAAAGAATTTATTCTGTGCTTTCCTCTGCCTCCCAGGAGGAGAGGGGAGCAGAGTTCACCTAAATATAACTGTCAGCTCACTTGACTAATATGCATGTTTATTCCCAAGCAATTTATAATAAACACATGTCTTAATGAATAGTCATGTTAGACTTAAAGGGGTGGAGTTGGAATGTTAGCTGAAAGCCTTAGAAGGCAGGAGGACCAAAGCCCACTCTCTTCTAATTGGCCCTTTCTCTCAGATGCTTGACAAATTCTGGAGTAAACACACTGAGACCAATGACAACTTCATCATTCTGCAGTAATCATAGGTTGCTTTTTAAAAAGGAAGAAACTCCACCTGGCCTTTGATTTTTTTTTTTTTTTTTTAAACAATAGTTTCAAAGAGAAGATATGACATTGCATAATTGTTAATTTTGACATACAGGATTAATAGCATACATTACAACAGATAAAATTTGCAAGTGCAAGGACCTAAATTTGAACCCTAGAACCCACATTTACAAAAGAGAAAGAGACAGCAGCAGCTGCCAGGATGTTAGATAGGTGCAGACAGACGGACCACTGGGGCTTCCTAGCCAGCCAACATGGCCTGGCTTACTCCAGGAGTTCAAAGTCAATGAGAAACGATATCTCAAAATCAAGGTGGACAGCATCTAAGGAACAATACCCAATGCTGTCCTCTGGCTTGCACCCATGTGCGCATGTACACACATATCCTTTAGCCTTTGGCAAGCATGCTGTATGGTCCTACTTTTCCTATCATGTTCTTGGTGAATAAAGTCAAGGCTCCAGAGCCCTTTTCTCTGGTCATTCTTTGCCGTGATGTCTTACTTGGGAGCTCTAAAGTCACTTAAATATAATACCATCATCAGATGGAGGAGGAACCTGAGGGCCAGCCAGATGAGGATTATGCCCGCACCACTTAGAGGGAGTGAGCCAGCATTCAAGCCAAAACAAGCGGGGCTTCTTAGGTTACATCCTTAACTGTTAGGCTACATCCTCAGGTAGAATCTGTCTTAGTCAGAGGCTACCGGAATTCCTACTGTTTCAAGTTACTGTTGCTGGGTGGCTGAACAGTTCCACGGACGTTTGTTCTCTACACTTTGGCCAGTTATGATTTTCTGTGTTTACCACTTTCCACCGCACAAAGAAACTTTTCTGATGAGGTCTGACAGCTGCTCTAATCCATAAACTTGTTTTTAAAGAAAGGATCTCCTGTATCCTAGACTAGCATCAAATTCACTTTCTAGCCAAGGAAGACCTTGAGCTACCTGAGCCTCCTGCCTCCACCCCCAAGTGCTTAGACTGTAGACAACACGCTGTCACACCCAACTTAACCACATTATTTTTTAAGAGGGTTGTTCATAATTTGTTAGACCACTTTTGTCTTTTTCTCCCAGCATGCTTAGTAGCTATCGTTTACCTTTTTTTTTTTTTCATACTACTCCAAATCTTGCTAGTTTGGACATTAAAAACTTTAGTAATCTCTGGTAGCTGCTTGTGTTAATGCCAGTTTCTTTGATGGGCTCCAAAACGTTGGCATCTGGTCTTTTTCTTTGTCTCCTCTGAATTGCCCACAGCTGAACTAAATACACCTCAAAGCTGTTGCAGCTGACCTGAGGTGTCATGGCTATCCAAGCCTGCCTGGTCAGTGGGCCCACCTGGAATGGACACAGCACAGCATGCAGAAATAACTGTTGCTGACTGTTGTGTTGATGTATTGAACGTCAGAAGAACCGTGTGTTTAGCCTGCTGGTGAACCCAACTGTAATTGTTGGTCCACTCCTTTTAGACTGGCCAGGCATCAGGGGCCACGTTTGGTGGGAAATATTGCAGCTACATGGGAGATACTGTAATTGCATGGCCTTTTGGAATTCTTGGGAAAGGTTCAGAAGTAGAAACTGAACGGCTGAAGAAAGTCCTTGAAGACACCAGGGCAGACAAAAGATGGTCTTCCAAGATGTGTGAGTGTTCGTTTCATAGACTGGAGACAAATGATCACGCTCTGAAATACACCCCCCAGAAGAACGCCAACCAATATGGTTTTTCTTTTTCAAAGCAAGCTCCCCTGTCTCCCTCAGGATGTGCAGAGGCTATAACATGATGGCTCTGCGTTTTTATTTCAGAAAACTCAAGTTCCTCTTGGGTTTCTGTTTAGCATTCTAATTATTTTTTTTTCTCTTAGAAGAAACTGTCACAATCCACCTCTTGGTATCTTGATTTCTTTTGGCTCCTCAAGCACTGGTTCTGGTTTAAGTCCATATGGTGTAAATCTGCGGTGCAAAGGCCGTCCCTGAAGCCCAGTAGCTTCTTGTTTTCCTTGAGCCCTGTGGTCTCTCTATTGACTGGTGTTCTGTGTTCCTAAAGAACAGGAGAGTCCAGTCTGTGTTTTCAAGGATGGGGCCGGCTAACCAGATGCTGGGCTTCCAAAGCCTTCGCCAGTGTTAAGAGAGACAGCAGCCGTTTCCATGTTCCTGACAGATTGGAAGGTGTTTTTTAAGTTCTCTGCTTCAGAGCTCTCCCTGGAAGGGTCGGTCAGTTATTCAGCCAACATCCTGGGCCTCTGCAGCTGTTGCTGCTTAGAAGCCTCTAATAGTTTTTGCCACATTTGGACCCTCACAAACAGAACTTCTAAGCACTGGGAATAGAAAACTAGAGGTGGTAAAGAAAGCCAAGAGAGTGGGTGTCCAGTCTTCCAGGTAATGGACTCTATAAGGACGCTACTGTGTGGCTAGTCTGTGTGGACAGTCAAAGGGAAGGAGAGAGAAATCCCACGTGTTCTTTTCTTGCTTTCCTGGGTGACAAGAAGGACTTTGGGTTTGAGTTCACCCTTTCAATGGCAGTTCTTTCTACTGGCTAGCTTGTATCCTTAGCAGTGAAAGGGAAGCAAGTTCATTACCAAATCTTTTAGCCTATCAAAAAGTGCTATATTTGAAGTTCAATAACTTAGACCAAAAATACTACTTATACTATTCCATAATCTATCTCCTACATTGCCTTTTAACTCCAAAGAGCAATAGTGAGCCTGTGAAGCTTGGATTTCTGAATTACATCAAAGGGCGTAGCGAAGTCGGCTCTTTGCCTCTCAGCATGCAACCCACTCCTGGTAACAACTCTTTGGGCATGACTGGCCTCTCTGCTTATAACCACGAAGTTTCTGAGGGATTCCTGATCTAAACTCCTCAGTCCCTGCCTCTTCTGTTTAGTTCAGCACCATGCAAGTCACCTGAGCGTGGTGACCTACACAAACTATAGAAAGGTGGTGAGCATGGCCAGGCACAGACTGCCAGAAGGCTAAAGGTGGATGAACCTAGTTTACTGATATGAGGAGAGCTAGTCTTGTTGGTAACTGGGAAGAAGCCAGTTGGATCTGTGTTAAGCCATGCCATCCATCCCTGTGAAGTGTTCAGTAATACTAGCCAAAATACTGGTTGGGTTTTTTTTTTTTCTTTTTTCTTTTTTCTTTTTTTGGCTAGTTGGGTTTTTGTTGTTGTTGTTGTTGTTGTTTTGCCTGCAACTCTGTCAGAATTTAATAACCAGGAAACGAAATGTAGTAAATGATAGCCACTAGATTATAGGGTTTCTGAATAAAATAGAAGAACCTCAATATTCTAGACTACAACATTAGTAAGGATTAGATCGTCCTGCAAAAGAAACGTAACTCTGATTTACAGTTTCTGGATGTTGTACACATTGCTTCTGCTGTGTGCCACTGTGGTGATATCTTGCTTGTACAAATAAAGCCTGTGTGAAGGTCAGGGAATGGAGCTTGCCACTAGCTAGCCATCGAGGTCTGGAGGTCTGTACAGACAGACAAGAGAGCGAGTTCCTGTTTCTCCCTGCTTATATCCTGTTTCTGCCCAGCTATGGCCTCATTTCCTGTCTGTACAAAGAACCCAGATTCTGTTCTCAGCACCTACATGGTGGTTCACAATCATCTATAACTCCACCTCCAGGGTATCCAGCGCTCTCTTCTGAGCTCTGTGTGCTGCAGGCACATGTGAGATGCACATGCGTAAAGGCAAGCAATCCTGTGTGCCTCAGGGTGATTTTATTCATGAACAATTTTTATTTTAATAAATATCACCGTCATAATAGTTGCCAGAAAAAGAGAACTTTTACATCAAACTTGTAACTTTATGATTTATGTTGGAGGGAAAATTAAAGGTTAGAAAAACAAGTGTTTGCTTTTTGAAGGGACCGCCCAGTTGGCAATGAAGGCTAAGAGATTACACGTGAAATCTTAAAGTTGCAGGGGCCCTGGAGATTATATACTCACCCCCCACTCTCATCCGTCTTCAAGAGCAGAATTCTCCCAAGGCATGCCTCAGAGCAGGCAGCTAGCTTGTGCTTGACTATGTTCAAGGGTGGTTTGCTTACCTCCACCTGAGGCAATTCTAATAGTCAGAAAAGCCTCCCTT